ATGTGCACATGGCCTAACATTTCTTTTCTGCTAAGAAAATCCACAAAAACATAAAAACAAAGAGGAAAAACGGGAAGTGGAGGAACTTGTCTTTACAGTATGTACAGAAAATATATACAGAAGCACAAAGTAAAACAGGAAGTAAACTGTGACAGGCTCTCCTTGGTAGGCGCCTACAAATACTAATTGTTCAACCATGGATCTAATTAGAGCTTCTCTATAGCTGTCTGACCACACCATTACTTTTCTCTTGATCCTCTTTCTGCCCATTTCCCAGAGGGGTGGGAGGAGAGAAGAGGAAAAAAAGTGATAACCCACCTGCTGAGGTACCTCACACAGTGATGGAAAATGCATTTTCTAAACCATCTGTGACCAGGTTTTGAAACAAAAACACCCATTACACGTGCTTCTTTTCTGTGCAATGAGAAAAGAGATTTCACATTTGGATAGATAGTCTATGCATGAGAATGCACTGTGTTTTTTAATCTCTTCAGTGTGTGTGTGTGTGTGAATTTAAAGCAGCTTGTCATCTTTGTCCCTGAGTTTTACATCACCACCAGGCACATTTGCGAGGGTGTTTGAAATCACCTGACAGCTTAAATTCAGATTCATCCCTCTCGCACTTCCTTAGTGTGTAAAATTATATATCAGTCACTATTGTCCCTTTAATTACAGTCATTACGCTTTGTGTGGATCTAAGTATTTATTCCTTTGTCATGTCATGCAGCTCAGAGTATAATTTCTCAGCATGATAAGCAACAGGAGCTTATTTGTAGCTGTGATACTAAAAAAGGGTAACGGAAAGATTATACAACTCCATTACAATCTACATTAACTCACACATGGCCCGACGAGAGTGCATGCGATCCTCTTTTTGTACATTCTGAACCAAACAACCGATATCTTCTTAATGTGCTTAGATGTTTCAACAATTCAAACGGCTGAGCAGAAATCCGAGCATGCCAAATTAAAAACAAGCACATATGACAGCACATATAAAAGGGCTTGAAGAGCTTCTGGTATTGTGTAATAATATTACATGTGTTAAATGCTCTGTAGGTTAATCACTTAAACCACAGTGCATTAAGCCAAAACCTCTGAAAATATGTCACAACTACAGTAATGATAGGACATCGTGTGTGACAAGGTCATGGTTCTCTCACTTTTATCTGTCGGTATTTGTAAATTAATGAATGATCCTGTCATGGCTGTAGAGGAGGAGTGCAGGGTTCCTCTATTTCACCACCACAGCCAACACCAATTAGTAGACTTCCAGACATTGTGTCTGTCTTGCTCTAAAACATCAATATTCTGTTTCTTCACTGCATTACCCGATTTGATTTAGTCTTTAAAGGCCTGTTCTACTATTAATCTCTTCTTATTTTTCTCGAGTCACTAATTGCATGTCTCATCATCCCCTCTCCTTCACCCTCCACCTGTTTTCAATCCTATCCCTTTTCCTTTTTGCTGCTCTCTCCTTTCTTTAGTGTCATTTGTTTGCTCTTTCATTATTCCTTTCATTGTTCATGTCATTTTGTTTTTGTACTCGTCTTCCTTTTACTCCCCATCAATGTTGTCTCGCTTTTTTTATCGTCTCCCTTGTCCCTTTGCCCGTCCGTGCCTAATTAAATTGAACATGTTATACAAAAGGATGACAAAGTAACAAATGAAAACATTAAAAATCGCCAATTTACAATTTATACAACAGATACAAACTGTAAGCTGTCTCTCTAGTACTGATGAGTAAACTTATGAGTGTTACTAGAGGAGACATATTGCTAACGGTTTGCCAGCAACACCTGTTAAGCCAGGTGGACATGACTTGGAAAGAAGGAAGGTGGAAACGAGTCACGGAAAGAGGGAGGGAGGAAGAGGGGGACAAAAGGATAATAAACAAACCTGGAGCACACAGAGAGATGTCATAAATATTGTATATCCGTGGCTGACGTGTGTGTGTCTCCACCACGTGTGTGTGTTTTCACCCCCCCCCCCACTATTAAATGTGCAAATATGAGCCTATTTGCTTAATGACTAGCAGTGAAAACAATAAAAAGGTCTAAAAATAATCAATACATTTTTTTGTCATTTAGCAAAAACAAAGCAACAAGAAGTGAGTTCAAGTGAATATTAATCTCTTCTAATCTCAAAGGCCGTCTTTGACAATGATCAGACAAATTAAACACACGTCAGCGTGCACAGGCTCGGTGTTTACAAGCTCTGCGATTAATGTTTGAATATGCTAATAATTCACAAGCTAACTGCTTTTAGTTTAACTAAACCAACTGAGGAGGAGAAATGTATGCAAAAATAAAAGCACACAGTTACAGTGTCTTACTCACTGAAGACATTTTTGTTTCAGTGCCAGATTCAAACAACAATTGTGTCATTTAGAGAGCTTTAACTTTTTAGCACGAGCAAATAATTGGTTCAGCATGAAAAAATTCCCACCTTCTGTGCTGCTGCCTGCTCGCTGTCACATTTCCAACATTCCTGTTCTGCCGAAAGTAGACACCAATTACCATTTTAAAATCCAATATTTCTGACACATAGTCCCAATACTGATACCTTTAATGAGCATTTACCTATCAAATATTGTGTGGTGAACATAAACAGATTTTTATGCAGGGACAAGGAAGATCAACCCTACACCAGTAAGGACAACCAAAAAACACCAGGAATACATTTTTTTTAAGTTACTAAAAACCTTCACTTCAAAAGTTCACGTCACTTCCTTCAGCATTAAAACTTGAGTTTGCCCTGTGGCTTTAGCTATCTGAGATAGTGCAGGAGTCTGCTACTCTACCATATTTCAATAGTGCAGACTCTCCTTATTAAAGCAGCACAAAAGACTAATTATATCTGGAGCGCTTTGATTTACATGCAATTAAAGTTTCATGTGAACCTAGATAAAGTGGGCGATGGGGGGGCAGAGGAGAGGAGAGGAGATTAAGGACACCAGTGGTGAAGAGAGCAGATGTGTACAGTAACCGTGCACAAAGAGAAAGAAAGGTGGGGATGGGTAAGAGAGGTGAGTAGATGGGGGAAATAGCGGAGAGGAACAGAGAGGTGAGGTAAGCCATCATTTGGCTGAGGAAGTGATGACACAGCACATCCATCTCAGAGGCAGGTGCCTGCTGTTGCTCCTTTACAGAGGACACAAACTAACGAGGATAGAAGAGATCTGCACCATCATTACACTTTGATAATATCACACTGAGTCAAGACGACAGGATGCAGATAAAAATACTGCTGCTTTAGAAAAAAGACGCTCTGAAAAACACAAGTCCATAAATAGTTCATAAGTATGCTCTCTCTTTGTACCATCTCTGATGATTTGCTTTCAGGGTTTAATCAATAAATTCAGTGCAGTGAGCACTAAATTTGTATTTCATGATCACAAGCACGCTGGCTGTTTTATTTATACTACCTTAGATATGAGATCTTTTCCTTTTCACTTGTTTAATCTCCGGTTTTCTTCTCCTAAAAGCTATTCTTTAGGTTACACGGTTTCCTCAGATGCTGCTTTTGGTTATGTAACATTATGGTTAGTAAATCAGTAATCATAGCCTGCAGTCACTTGATATTTCTTTCTGAAAGCACTGCTCTGTGATAAGGTAATGTGATGGATGTGCCTTGACAAGGAGCAAACTGGTCAAATTCAACACAAAGCAACCAAGAACTAGACATGAAAGAGCGGAACGGAGGCTTCAGTATTACTCAGCCAAGTAAAAGAACATACAACAGTGTAATTATACAAAAAAAGCCCTCAGTCGCAAACACACAATTGATACCTACTGTGGGTGGGTGTGTCAGTGTGTGATCATTAATGCATCACCCAGACACACAGAAGGTTTCCAGGCATGTTATGAAAGGTTGGACAGTAAATAACATCCTGAAAATAACAGAGGAGAAGGGGAATGAAAGGAGGAAGAGGGGGATGGTGCAATAATAATGAAAGCAATAAGAGAAGGCCCATTTTCCCAGCTGTGATCTGTGCCTCAGTCAAGACAGTCAATGTATTCCAGTGTGTGTGTGTCTGTATGTTCCCACTGAGCTTTCAAATGAGTCAAAATGACTCACTTCGTATTATCAATTACCCACTTACAGTACAGCAATCCTTTGTGTGTGTGTGTGTTACTTGAAGCCAGAATGAAGTCAAACATTAAAACTCACAAAAACGCACATGAGTCCCACACACTTTCACCCACTGAATACACGGTATAGCCATATTCTTTTTTGCACAACCTAGCACTGCCCTGCACAGTTCAAGCTGCCAATACAGTACAAACACATTTACAAAGGAAACTAATGCGACAATTTACGCTATGAAAATGACATAGTATGAGTTTTTAAGCTTATTCTAAAAAAACAAAACACAAGAAAATAAATAAGTTTTAACAGCGACTACACCAAACACAGGTGTTAAAATGAAATACTTGATAGTTCGACGGTAACGAATGACATCAGCGTCTGGTCTTTTCCTGAGAAAATACAGCTGTCTTGGTTGTCAGTCGACGAACAGCACTTTCCCGATACGTCGACAGCTGGAGAAGCTCCAGGATGTGTGTAAACACACTCGCGCGCGCACGCACGGACTCCCACATTACACACCCCTCTGAGCGCTGCATCATGTAAACATGTAGCAGTCTGTACACGTTGGACTACTTCACTTCACTAATTTACATATCATTTTCTTAATTACACACAGTACAGTGTCACACAAGCCAAATCTCACACATCAGCAGACATCACATTCCTACTGTCAGTAAAAAGTGCAGTCTTTATTTCCCTAGCGATGCATACATTAACGGTAAAATACATTTACTTAAATTATGTCCTGTTTTTGTCTTGACCAGGCCTCCCTTCAAAATAACATCCGTTATTTGAATGGGAAAAGGAAGGTTCTTTCACATAAAATCAGCACCAATCAGACATTTGACGTCCTGGAAAAAACAGAGATCACTACCCTCGAATAGAAAAGATGAAATAAAGTCACTTACAAGAGTTCCTTTGGCTCCCATCATTTGCACCAGGCGAGGTGGACATCCCAGCAGGATGCTTTTTGTCCTCACAGGATAACCAAAATCAGAGGAGAAGGGGGAAGGCAGACAACACAACGATAGTACACCAAAAACTCCACCGATCACGACAACACCTGCCAACCATGCATCCTCACAGTGTCTCTCGGCCCGCACACATGCTCCTCGGCACAAAAAGATGCTTCAGAAAAACATTCTCATGCACACTTGTACACACTTCGGTGCTGAGCGTTGTTTTTTTTTTTAAAGAACCTGCCACTCACAAATCATGCACGTGCATGTGGGGGGATCAGCGCTGCACCAGTGTCTCGCTGTGGTGTGGAGACTGCTGAGGCTGACAGTGCAGAGAGAGAGAGAGAGAAGGGAGAAGAGCGAAGACGATTGGAGCATACCACTAGCTGCTGCTGAGCGAGGGAGGAGGGGGACCTGAGTAGAAAAGAGAAGGCGAAGAGGGGGTGGGAAAGAGGGTGTGTACGCGAGGAGGATAGAAAATAAGGAGCATAGACGCTTATGAGTTTGTAGGTTTGTGTGTGAAGCTGAGCAATTTTAGAAATCGTAACTCGTGAACACATTTGGCTCTGACCTTTAAACACACATGGATGCCTCTTAACCCAGTCTGCAGACTTTATATATCTGGAGGAGTAAGCTATTTTAATGAATAGGGATTATGAACACCTATTAAAGTGGATACAGAGCAAAGATGTCAAGGTAGCTAAACAGAACCCTTTTTGAAAGGTTAGGCTTGCTGCTTTTGTCATGTACCACACACACATCCACATGAACAGCCTTACACACAAATCACAGCATCAAAAGTGAAACACACTTGTGCCCACACTGTGCCTCCACAGCCTGAGGGGGGGACATAATAATCCTCCTCATTAGCATGATGCTGTGAAGAGCATCACAAATCCACCTAGCTCTGTCGCCTCCTCTCATGTCCTTCACTAACTCCTCCCGATTTCTTTTCTTTCATATTGCCCACCTCTTTTCCAATGCATGCTGAGCTCAAGTGATGGGACCTGCAAAGACACAGCTCTCTGATCTACAAGTGCCACTGATACAGTATATATATATATGAATTAAAACCTCTCTCTTTTTCTCACACACAAACACGCACACACACACACGCACACTAAAGCCAACCTTGTCAACCTTACCCTTCATCTTCAGGATCCTTCAAAGCTCTCAGCGCCTGTAGGGCCGTTCTGCTCGAAAACAAGCTACAAACACCAGCAGCCACAATCGATAGCATTTGGACACAGCTGCACAAATAAAGCTGCAGGCAACTCAACGGAAATATTATAAGCCCCTTAATTAGCTACGGGTGATTATAACTGCAGCAGAGAATGAGCTGTGGGAGGGGTAAAAAGTGCACCGGCTGGAATTGAGGATGGACTCTTTGACTATGAAATCATGCAATACAAAAAGCGAGTTATTAAACAGATATCTGCCCTGATTCACACTCAACAACCCAAGAAATAAACATGGAAAAACGTGACTAAATATAACAGCTAATTTGTGAATAACTAATCAACAGCGTTACATTAGTATTTTTAATTTTTACTACAGTGGTGTGTAGCTGTTGTTTTGACTTAGCTTTTTCATGTAGTGAAATGAGCTGCCTTGAGAGATATTTAAAACTCGTTCTTTTACCAGTGGTAAAGTACAGATATTAATGGATAGCCTAGTTAATAGCACTGTGGCTGGACAATATATCAATATAGAAAAAGGGGATTAAAGAAACCTTTCAAGGCTTTAGCAGGAATTTCTTATATAACTCTCAGAAGCCCAGCGACTTCTGACCGTGACAATTTCCAGGTTTGCTGTGAGCTTCTTGTCATAAATGTGAGTGAAGCTGCTACACTCCTTTCAAGACTTCCCTTTTTTAATGGTAGACCCAGATGTATGATTTTCTATCAGACACATAAACAGTTCCCTGACATTTGTTATGAGAGTCTTTTTTAAGATAATGTAACAATCAAAGGAGCTTGCAAAGAAAAGCGTCTGGACATCCAGAAGAAGTCCAGATGCTTTTCTTTGCAAGCTCCTTTGACTACGATGACCTGGATGACTGAGAACCTTCACAGACATAATGTAACAATGCCGTTCACAAACAATCTTGTTTTAGTATTACAACAATTTGTGGATTATCTCTTTACACTCTAATTCAGCTGTGCTCAGAACAGCTGCTTGGTGAGTTGCCAACAGGGATGTTGCCCTCTGGTGTACAAATTATGCAACAGTAACGCTCATTACATGGTCGAAGGGTGTTTCTCCTGTCTCGCCTTTACTTTCAATTCCTATTCATCCCTTGTTATAAAAAAGCGATACTAATACACAGAGATGGGCAGTAACGCGTTACTTGTAACGCGTTACTGTAATCCGATTACTTTTTTCAAGTAACGAGTAAAGTAAGGGATTACTATTGCAAAAACGGTAATTAGATTACCGTTACTTTCCCGTAGG